AGTATTAAATACAAATCCTGGGTTAACTCTCTCACCAGGTAAATTTCCCATAAGTTGTTCACATACAACTGGTTCAACCTTAAAACATGTTACACATTCATGTACAACCTTTCGAGCTATATCTCGACCATTAATAACCCAAAATTTACTACGAACCTGATGCAATAGCGCTTGAGCATCAAGATGTAAATATTTAACATGATCTTAAATAAGGGAATTAGAGTTCACATTTAAATTAACTAAGTCATTATCCTTAAGTTTGAGTTCTTTGACGTATTCCACATCATCCATATCAGATGAAATTACTTCACGGGATTAGTCAAAAACCTCTCCTTAGTCAAGAAAGTTGGTCCATACCACCATAAATCATTATGAAAAAGATCTTTAGGTTCAGCTGCATGTGATATCAAATCAGCTGGATTATTGTGAGTGCTAAACTACCACTCATGAACAGCAGTCATGCTTCGAATAACAGATACTCTATTAGCAACAAATGTCTTTAGCTGATAAGGTTCCTTCTTAATCCATGATAACACTATTGACGAATCGGTGAAGTAATAAACCTTGACTGTAGGCAGCTGAATGGCCTCTAATATTCTTTTCATTAGTTTTACCAACAGAACTGCACCACAAAGTTTCAAACGAGGAATGGTAATTGACTTCAGAGGTGACACACGAGACTTGCTGCACAGAAGTCTTGATGAACATTCATTTAAGATGGCATACATTTCACATAAATTGCAGCACCGTAGGCTTTCTGACTAGCATGACAGAATCCTATAATTTCTATTTGCTGTAATCCATTGGTTAGAACAAATCTGGGGATGCGATAACCGTTGACTATTTTTAGACTATGCAGAAATTTTTTCCATTCCTCAAAGTAATTTTTAGGAAGAGGTGTATTCCAATTTAATTTTAGAAGCCAAAGTTTTTGTAGAAATGTTTTAGCTTTTGTCATAACAGGTCCAATTAAACCTAATGGATCAAAGAGGCGACCTATTGTTGATAAGACATCTCTTTTCGTTCCTGTTTCTTCAAAGTATCTTTAAATCGTAAGAAAAACAGTCTGTAGACGTATTCCTTGACATTCCTAAGGCCTTTGTAATCTGAGGCTTATCCGTAACTTGAAAGGTGTAATCCTGAGTTGCACTTTCTTTATTCTTCAATAATTCTGCATTATTTGAACACCATTTGTGTAACTGCATTCCACCATGTTCTAGAAGATGGGTTAACTGTGTCTGCAACTCCTTGGCTTCTTGCAGCATATTAGCGCCAGTGATAATGTTGTCCACGTAACAGTCCTTCAGTATGGCTCTTGAGGCATGAGGAAAGTCAGTTGCTTCATCCATTGCTAACTGCTTCAGGACCCTTGTTGCAAGGAATGGTGCACTTGCTGTTCCGTATGTTACAGTCCTTAGACGATAAGTCTGCACAGGACTACCAACTGATTCTTTCCACAAGATCAACTGCAGGTTTCGTTGAGATGGTTCAATAAGTATTTGTCTGTACATCTTCTGAACATCAGCTCCTAATGCATAGTTGTACTTTCGAAATCTAATAATAGAAAATAAATTTTTTGAGGTATTCACCCCTTCATTAATATTGAATTCAGTGATTTTCCATTGCTAGTAGCCACTGATGCATTAAACACAACGCGAAGCTTGGTAGAGGTTTTCTCTGGCCGATAAACTCCATGATGACTGAAATAATTGCAAGTCGATGTTTCAATTTCCTGAACTTCTTCCATGTGATTTAGATCCTTATATTCCGTGATAAAATTCTTATATAATGTTTTCATATTCGAATCACTTTCTAGTCGATTCCACACTTGATGCAATCTTTTCTCAGCCTGCGTTTTTGATTCTCCTAATTCTACACCTTCCGTTATGGGTAATTGAACTACTTCCGTCATTTTGTCTATAGTGAGTACGCCTGAAATGTTCTTCACAGTATTTTTCATCTTCACTCAAAGCATCCTTGATATTTTCAATGGATTCAACTTCCCAAAATCTCTGCAAAATTTCTTGACTCTTTTTTCACTATATAGAACTAAACCGCAATAATTTACTTCCGAGTTACTCTTGCATGCACCAGACGCGATATATCCAAAAACTGTTTCTTGGAATATCAACGGTTGATTTTCTAATTGAAATTTTCCTTGTTTTAAAATCTCAAAGAACAATTCGGCTCGTAATAACATATCTATTTTGTTAGGTGTTCCAAATTGCGGATCCGCTAATTCAATATCAATGGGAATATTTAATGACTGCACATCTAAACTCCTTGATGGAGCTACACTGGTTATTTTAGAAATAACTAAACAATTAACTGATCTTACATATGTTAAATCCTTATTCGAAATCTGTACATCTAGTTGATAATTAATATTTATAACGTTCGCATTAATTGCCCTTATCAAGTATTGTGCAAACTGGGATTCTTTTTCCTTCGGAATTGCAAACATATATTATTGCAGTCACCAATAAGATGTTTTTTCTGCCTGTCAAAAGACGACTTGATTGATTTTTATTAGAGACATCTGCGTTCTTGTTTATAATTTCATTTCTTGTTTATAATTTAATTTTGTCACCCTGTTTTTGTTTTGTCTAATTTATGTTAGATGGAGCCATTTCTGAGCAGGGGATGTATTGATGAATGGTGTTTTTTATGGCATTCCGAACATCTGAACTTAGAATTGCATTTTGCGATTAAATGTTCATTACTGAGACAGTTTAGACACAGTTTATGGCTTTTAACTATTTCATATCTTTGATTTGGATTTAGTTTTAAAAATGAATCACATTTATGCAGCGGATGATTGTTATTTTTACATATAACACAAATCGAAACACTATCGTTTTTAACCATCAGAACCTTTGATTTCGAACTTTTTTCTAACGGATATTTCACTTTATTAGTACTACGGTCAATGTTATCCAATAACTGACATCTTTTCTCTAAAAATGAAATTAATTCATCAAACGTAGGGCTTCCGTAGCATTAATGCTTAGTTCAAATTGTTTGCGCGTTTCAAAATCTAGTTTCTGAAGTACAATATTTAATAACAGAATATCGGATAAATTATTTTTCTCTTATTTTAAAACATTCAAAGCCCTAATGTTTTTAGTAACATTATCTATTACATATCTTATACCTTTAGACGATTCGAATGTTAAAATACGTAAATACATGATTGACTTTATATGCGTCTCAATTAATATTCTTTTATTTTCATACCTATCTTGAAGAGCTTTAAATAGAGAATTAAAAGTATCATCAACAGTTTCAAGATTTTTTGCTTCATCCGTTAATGCAGCCTTTAAATAGTAGAGTTTCTGAACTTCTGTCAGTTGAGTGTTATTCACTATGATGTTTTCGAATTGAAGCTTAAAATTATTCCATTCGGTATATTTACCAGAAAATTTAGGAATTTGTAATTCTGGCAAACATACTTGTACTTTAGGATCAAATTTACTACAATCATTTTCATTTTCAGAACGAGCGATAGATGATAGAATTTCCGTAATTCTTACCTTTTAGTACTTCAGTTCTTTCTATTTCTTCATCAATAGCTGTGACATCTTCTTCATTAACGCTTTCGAAATGTCTATTCCTTAAGTTTCTAATATCTATTTGAATGCTTTGAAGTGATTGATACTTTATTTGAATTTCATTCTTATTCGAACTATCATCATATTCCTTCACTACATTTTCTAACCTTCGCTTTTAACGAAGTTTTAGTTCTATCTAATGCCAGTATTTTGTTCATTTCTCCGGTTCTGCTGACCATATATTATGATTCTAAACTAATGAGTGAACTGTATAGCAAAAGAACTAACTAATTTATTTACAGTAATTAACTAAATTCAGATCTAATACATGCTCTGGTATGTTGCTCTGCCGAATCCAGATGGCCAAGTGAGAGTTTCTCTCTCTGTCCAATAGGTGGTGCTGTATTCTAACTTAACAGGTGGAATATCAAGTTTAACTTTGCCATTTATTCTTGATAAATTCGTAGTCACTAACAAATGAAAGTGTTCTTATTAAATTTTAAATAATTAAAGGCAGATACTCTTTTGCTTCTAACCAAGCTTCTGGCACCCTTTGAATGCATGAACATGATATGTCAACATATTACAAGACTAAGAATATATGTCGCCGACTGGCTGACGTTTTTTTTAATAACATAACTTGTTTTTCTTGATTCTGTTTTCTTAAACTGGATTGCCTGCTCGTAATAGGTGTTTCTATATATGCCCTCTAATTTAAATAATTATGTTCATCTAGCCAGGCAACCCCACCCACAGATTGAAAAATCAACCAAATATGTACTTCAGGAAGTAAAAAAAATTGCTTATTGCCTGAAAATATGGATTGCAAAATCATACGTGCTTAACTGCAAGCAGCAGTACTTTTTTACAGTGTATTTTATGAAAGTATGAATGCATTCTAATTTAAAGATGTTTGTTTGCAGAAAATATTTTTCTTTTGAGCAGAAATAAAATCGTGTTTTGCAGGAGTTATAAAAAGTATACATAAAAGCAAAGCTTAGCATTTTTGCGGCGTAACAAAAGTGTTCATTTCTAGAAAGCTTTGACAATTTTGTATGAGCCAAAAATGCTGCTTGGTAGATTGTAGATGAGGCTAATTTCCAGTATAAATTTTAATCTTAGTGTAGAAGTTTTATATTTTCATGCAGTAAACGAGAAGTTTGATTTTCTGTAAAAAAATTTTCCAAAATGTCATTCAAAATATTGCTTCGGTATACAACTTTAAAAACCTAGTAAAAATTATCTGCCTCTTTATGTAATTGGTTAATCATACCTTTATTATTTTTTTTAAAAAAGGGGGGCTTGCAAGTTAGAAATTGGGAAATTTAACCTCTGAAATCCGGTTTTGAATTATGGTATATAAATATGTAACAAATGTAATTATTGTGACAGAGTGAATTAAAGTTCAATAAATAATGTATGAGTTCATGAATTATTATTATTATGTAGGAAGCTCAGGCGTATGCTGATGAAAACGGACTACTTTTTATGGAAACTTCTGCAAAAACAGCCATGAATGTCAACGACATTTTCCTTGCTATTGGTAAAAGTTCTTATTTTATTATCATATTTATGTACATTAGCACCTCGTCAGTTTGACGCATGTGCTTTATATCTGTAACTATTAGCAGAACCTTTAAAAGAAATTTGCGAAAAATTTTTTTACTATTTTTTCTAACTTCTCTTACTTTAAAAAATATTTTTAAATCTATCTACTTCACTTTTTGGCTAATCCAGGTAAACTGTGTAACTTAATGCAAGTCATTTAGAAATGCTGATTGGTTTTTAGTCATGCTTTTGTTATTTTTAATTCTTTTGGGGGGCTTAAAAAATTAAACTCGTCTTTTGAATTGCTGTGCAGTTTTTTAAGTTATTTATTTTTAAAGACTTGTGTCCATCTTTTAACTAATTTATTTGTACTTCAGTCGCTCAAACAGTATAGTGCAGGGATGGCTAGCCTGCGGCTCTTTGAAGGATTATTTGTGGCTCTCAATAAATGTACCTGAGTTCCCTTTTCGTTGTTGTGTTATTATATTTTTAAAAAATTTTATCGTTCTGTATGTGTTTCAAAATGTCTGGCAACAAATGTGCAAGAGTAAGCGCAACATTGTAACAAATTTCATTTCCATCCAAGTTAAGAATGATATAACTCATCGGCCGATTGCTTCTCGATGAATGACTATCTGCGATCTATGTGATCAACCGACTCCAGACCGATTTTGAATTTGTAAACTTTCGCTGCAATGGGCAGTTGACATTGTGCTTTGAAGGAAACAATTTGTATCATTCTTGCTATGGATATAATTTGTAATCTGAAATTTTGGATAAGTTAACTATAATTTATTTCGTAGTATGTAACACGTGTTATTGTTTTAATAACATAAAACTTGTATTTCTAAATTTATATATTTCCAGTTCTTTAAACAGTTCTTTATTATTTTAAAAATATAACAACAGAGAACAAAAATAATATATATATATATATATATATAATAATTATTTCCTAAACATATGATTAATTGATTATATTATCTCCTAAGTTTAATTAAAGTAGAATTATTTTAAAAGTGTGCATCCATACTGGTAAGTTATATTTTGAAAGATGTTTTGAAGTAATTTGAAAGCAAAATGTTAATAATGTTTTAACGGGGACTGGAGTTAAATCATCACGAAGAATAATATTTCAATTGTAAAAGGAAAAATTAAAACATGTAATCATTGTCATTGATCGGAAATTAGTTGACTTTTCAAGGGGAACAAACCAACTCCCGTTCATTGAACAATAATTCATAAAAATACGTAAATACGAAAGTGTTTCGTCTTTACTCGAGTTATAAGTTAAAGCCAAACCGGCAATTCTAGTCAGGCCAAATATTTCCGCGAATAGTAGGAATTATGAACTAATGCTGATACTCAAAGAACTTATTCTCATGAAGCATTTTAGTCAATTCAATTTGGAGTAAAAATCAATTACTGTAGAGAAATCCTGTAAAACTCGAGTAACCGTCCCCGACACTTTCATCGTTACGCATTTGAGTATTATATTATTTGTAGAAATTAAACATTGGAAATTGTCATTATGAAATCGAATTCAAAGTAAAGTTGAAATAAACATAGAAGATTATAAAAAAGATAAATAATGCAAACTTTGTAAAAACAAATCAAAGAAAATATAAAAATAATAGTAATATAAATAAAATCAGTGAATGTACATGAAGATATAAAGGCCAGAAAGGTATTAAGTAACTTACATTCTTTCTAGTGGGGGAGTTGGCAAAGTGTTCTCTTCGTGTCTGACTCGGAAGTGTAGGGTGTCCGAAAATTCTTAGCGGCAGTAGGGGCTTTGAATAATATCAGTCGGTAAGACTTGGGTGAAGTAATTTATGGTAGTGGGTGGGACTTGGAATTCTTGAGGGATGTATTTTGTGGAGAAGCTTACTTCTTTAAAATCAACTTTAAATACATAACAGTCAATTTTGATGACCTTTAGCAATAATGTGGCTGAAGCCAATTTTGTTAATGCTTGGAACATTGCTCGTGCAAAACGCCCATATGGAGAGTTTATTTAAAAAAACTTGGAAGATGTACTTAAAGTTTTAGATCCAAATAATGCGGCATTGCACAAAGTTGTTTTGCAAATTCCCATCTCGAGAAACACAACAGAACGACGCATAACTGCAATGAACACATCTCTTGAATATAATTTTAAAAATGTTTTGAAGAACTGTATTGCATTCAGCTTAGCCCTTGACGAATCGACTGATATCGCAGATCTTCCGCAATTGGCAGTTTTCATACATTTTGTTTCACCTGGCTTCGTTGTTAAAGAAGAATTATTAGATTTAGTAGCACTTGCCCGGAGTTAACCCGCGGTGTCAATATTAAAAATGCATTAGAATCCATAATAAAATCTTTTGATGTGCCGATGGAGCTCCGGCAATGCTGAGTAAGAAAAAATTGGTCTTATTTGGCGTTTAAGAGATGATTCTGAAATTCCACAATTCATACCTATTCACTGCATAATTCACCGAGAACATCATCTCGTTACAAAATATTTAAAATATCCTGATGTTATGAAAACAGTGTTACACATTGTAAATTGCATTCGCACCAATGCAAAAAATCATCGACAATTCAAAAATTTCCTTGAAGAATTAAAAGAGGAAGAACTTCCAAATGTCATTATTCTATTCCATTGTTAGGTGGATATCTAGCTACAACGTATTAAATCGATTTGTAGATTTGTTTGATAACTGCATTTCTAAAAGAAAAGGAAATAACCTATTCAGAATTAGATGATGATAAGTGGTTACAAAACTTAATGTTTTTGACTGATATCATGGAACATTTGCAAACAATGAATTTACAATTGCCGGGGAAAGATAAAATAATATCTGACCTCTCACGGTGTATATTTAGTTTTCAAACTAAATTACAACTTTTTCAAAAGGACATAAAAAATAAAACATTTTATCTTTTTCCTCAAAATAAATATATTTGTTTGTTCCAATATTAAACAAGAAAACTCAACAAGTGTATAAAAAAGCCAGGTGGAATTCCAAAATAGATTTCAAGATTTGAAATATTTTAAATCGTCTCTAGTTTTTTTTTTTTTTTTTTTTTTTTTTTTTTTTGAATCCATTTGAAATTAACATAATTCAAGGTGAGTTTTCCATTTCCAATATAATTATGACCCAAAAAGCATCTGGAGAATTAGAATTAATAGAGATGCAAGAAGATCAAGCTCTACAATTATAATATAAGTCGACGGTGATTACTGAATTTTGGAAATTTGTACCAGAATCGAATCTGAATTAAAAAAAGCTGCTTGTTGGATTATTTAAATATTTGGAACAACGTACTCATGAGAATCATTTAATTCCACTTTAAAATTCATAAAATCCAAACACCAATCATTATTAACTAACCAGCATCTTAAAGAGTTACTGAGAATTGCTGTCACTAATTATTCACCAAATTTTAAAGAATTATCAAAAGAAGTAAAATAAATGTGTTTAATTTTTAAATTCAGTATGCATATTTTGTACTTTTATTTATGTTTACAATAAATATAATTTCTGTAAAAAAAATTAAATACTTTTTTTTGCATACCTTTTATTTACCATAGTTAATTGCGGCTCGCAAAAAATTGGCCACCCCTGGTATAGTGGTTAAGGAAGCCTGCTACGGTCCCGGAAAAGACATGGATGTTTGTAAATTTAATAGTGTTGCTGTGGCATGGTGACACTTTAATATGCGGTGAGCCAAAAGTCCTCTCGTGTGGATTGGTGGAAGGGGAGAGGGGTGGGAGAACCTCGAATTCCTCTCCGTGTGCTCTCCCTCATTCGGAGAATGCTCTGGCAGCCGTTGCTCCATATTATATGCACAAGACAGCAACATTTGTACTTCAAATATCAAATATCAAATATCAAGTAGTAAAGATATTGGTTATACTAGGCCTTTTGGGGGGCAACAAATATATTCAATGGGATTTTGGTAACCCTACCAGACCCTTAAGAAATAAATGCATTAGTAAAGGACATTTCAAGGGAAACTGGCTTGTTTCACGTTATGCAAGGGAAAGTCACAAAAATTGTTATTTGAAAAGATATTGAAATATCATTTTTCGGCAATTTACCGCTAGAACAGTGGTGAGCACGAAACTCTTGAAAGACAGCTATGAGTATCTGCTATCATTGACAGAAAATTTTCTAATCTATGCTTGCTTGTTCAGTATTAATTAAATGTTTAAATACTGTAGTGAAGAAAAGGTAACAGACAAAATCAAAGTACTTTGACATCTTCAAGGACAACCATTGACCTGACATTTCTTGGAAAAGTTTTTTGGTTTTGCTCATCTTGGTAGATACTATTTGATACTAGCTAGATCCCTTCAAGAGAAGGGTTAACTGTTTTCTTTTTTTTAGATGTTATAACTTACTTAAATAATTGCTGCTTTTAATGTGGCAAGCCCATCTTAAAAGATTATGTGGCTTTTTTGATTTTGTTAATCCTTCTTTTGATAGTGTATATTACATCTTCACTTTTTAGTGAGCAGAATCACTTTCTACAGTTCTCATTTGGGAGGTTCGTAGTTACTTAATGACCTAGAGATGTTATATTACAGGTTGTGTAATCCATTTGGATCCTAATTAAGGCCCCTTGGGACCATATCCATATGAAACTTTGTTATCATAGCTATTTTGGCTTCCTTCTCAACCACTAAATCTAAAGAAGTCCAGGCAACACTTATGTAAAATCATTGCAAATGTTGATGATGTTCTGTATTCTTTACAGATCATCAGTAACTGTAAGCTTTGATGTTTACCAGCATCTTGTCATGTGTGGCATCAACTTGGAGCACCGAATCACTACACCATGGAGTATAATTTTTCCTTGTCATAGTTTTGTGCCGTGTTTTTAAGTGATAGGTTCATACTCTGCAGCTCAAGAGAATCAGTACACTGAAAGATTAAAACAAAATATGCAATTTGTTGTGGCAAAGGATTTGTTTTCTAAGTGTTTAAAAAAAATTCAGACAAG